CTGTCCTTTCTCAAGCAAGAAATGAAGAGTTTGTCTGATTTTATGATGTCAAAGTCATAGCTCTCCTCGACTTCTCTTCCCCAAGGATTTGGCACCATTACTGTCTTTTTGCCCCAATTCCATTCAGTCGCGGCAACCTCTTCTTCTTCATCGTCTTCATAGGTGTCATCGATTGAATATGGATTATAAGCTTTAGCCACTGTGGTACTTTTCTAGAATCAGGTATCTCTACGCATACTCTAGAATTGGCTATTGAGCGCTGCCACTTGTTGAGCCAATTGACCTAAGTTATCAAACTCTTGTCCCAGCAACTTCTCTCTCCATGTTGGCAACATTCCTTGAACGGCCAGAGCAGTTAGCTGATCATCAGCCAAGTTTAATGAGAAGCACAAGTTTTTAGTCTCCTAGAACCTCTGAAGAAACTCAGTGCCCGATTCATTAGTTCTTTGCCTTATAGTTGTCAAATCGGTAATCTTCTTTTCTCCTGTCCCTAGTGTAAAAATATACATGAAACTTCTTCTCTAGGTCAGCCCAATTGACAATGGAGTTAACTAGCAGTGATGAAAACCAAGTGAAGGCTAGCCCTGACAGAGACAAGGAGAAGAAATGAACTCAATGGGCCTCTTCAACGGATGCTTCGCCCAACTGTGTAAGATACCGACTAACATGTTCTATTGTGCTTGTGTTGTCTTGGCCAGTGAACTTAGAAAATCTGGGAGCCTGTAATTTGTAGGAAGAGCGACCAAATCATACCATTCTAGATATGGGCGTTTGTACGAGAAGGTCAGCCCTTTTGGCTTCAGACCGAACTGATTCTTCATCATCTCGGTCGCCCTTAGCAACAACTCATCAGCATTTGAATTTGGATTTCTCTGCACTTGCTGACCCATCTGTGGATTGAAATCTCGTGTGCCTTGATATCCTGGATTTGAAATCATGTGAAGGGTGTTATAATCTGTGCCATAATGATACCCCTGTGGAATCTCTATCGGCTGGGTCCTTTGCTGGTTTGGTACTTGAAGTCTCTGATTGTAGACATGAGGATCTATATCTCTATGGATCCTTTGAATTGATGGTGCTATTTTTTGAGCCGACGACGGTATGTGGCCTGATATGCCAAAATTAATTATCAGGTTCTGACCTTGCCCGCCGGATGTTGCACATGCTGTACTGATGATCCAGGATTATACTGTATCTGATTCGTAGTAGTACCTTGAGCTTGCTCAGATGAACTCTGAACTACCTGGACATCATGATTAACAGCTGGTGCTGCTTCTTGATGGCTGGTACTAACTTGATTAGTCCCCTGGGTCGACGGATGTGGAATGTTGTAATAAGCCAGCCCAACCTGATCAACCGGAAACCCATGAAACACCTCCTTCATGGTGTTGTGGAATGTGTTCAAGAAAATTTCATTATGGTTCAATATGGCATCATGAACAGATTAGTTTATAGCTTCTGTGAAGAAACGCCTGTCTTCAGTCTCATCTGCATCTGTCTGCCCATGCAACAGAACTCTTGGTAGTGGATATTTCTGAACAATTATATTGTCACATGTTTTGGTGTAGGACAACAAACACTTGTTCTGAAATTCTTCTATAGCTTTGTTGATGACATCTTTATCTCCATCAAGTAGGTCTTCATAAGGTACCATAAGGATGTTGTTGTTATTATAAGCCACCATGATGATTGTGGGGTCCCACCAGGCATGCCAGAATGTGTGTCGGCACGAAAATTCGTCTCGTGTCGGGCACACGAGCAAGCCGGAAGGGTTCGCTCGATGGAGCTAGAGATCCACCTGGCTTCAATGCAGGGATGATCGATCCTGCGCACTCCTCCCAAGACATGCCAGTCCTGCAATTGACAAGGAGAGAAAGCTAATCAGTATTTTAAAGCGGAACATGCCGGTGTTGCCAAACAGTTCCGAATGTGTGGCTCTGAGAGTCGATGTGGAAGGAGATCGACTAAATAGCCGATTCCAGCACACTCATAAGAATAAATCAGTTAAAACTCATGGAATTATGAAGAAAAATCGGTTATCATTCAGGATGAATATCGTTATTTAGACAAATGTTAGTCAATGGCAATAGGATGTCAACACTAATCAGTTTATGCTAAGCCAATGACTACAATTAACCGAATCCCTTTTTATATAAAAGAAATAGCTCATCATCATTTAACCATTTAATAGAGATAAATCTAATGAACACATTAGATCTCACCTATAGCTATGACCAGTGGGGCATGAGGCAGAATCATGCAAGCCGTAGAAACAACAATAGATTTGACGACCCTAACTTATTACCAATATTAGTGGGGCATAAGGTAGAATCATGTAGGCCATAATACAATAAGAAGATCATGGGGCTAACATATCTTTCAACCTACCCTTACTTCAACGGTCTCATGGCATGAACTGTATATGTGAAAGCACTCGATATCGGCTAAAACAACCAATTCAGGCATAGCGCACAATTAAGGTCATGCCCTATCAGGAACAAATCTACCAACTAATGGTCCCCGCTCCACGGTGCTAGCAGTGGGGTGTGAGGCAGAATCACACAAGCCGTGATAACGGGCCATGTAACGGTTTTTGTTAGCTGATAGATCTATTCAAGACCTGACATGCCTTAACCGCACACTATGCACGATCAAGATTGACATAAAACAGCTGATAAAATGTAACTCATCGTTTAAGGTGCAGATTGGATCAGTTTAGATTAATAAACGATGGGTTAAACAGGATATAAGGCCGATCTAGATCAATCCCAATCGAGCAAAGTGATATTGCTGTAATTAAATAAATAATGAAAGCAATAAGAAATATCGCTAACTTAATGAATCTATCTGAAGGACGCCACCCTTAGATAGAGCCGATAACTTGACCTTAATCTAGTTCGAGTAGTGGAGGTCGACCGGATCGATGTAGCCGTACTTGAACTAGAGTCGATAACTAGCTTATACCAGAGTCGCAGTGGAGGTCGACCAGATCGATGCAGCCGTACGAACAGAAGTATAAGCTATGATGGTACTTATAGACAAGCCAGAGGTCGGCCGGACCGATGCAACCCTGTTCGCTGAAGAACTCGCCGAGATCTACTCTACTCCTACTCCTAAGGGGCTGCCAGAGCTGAAAAAATAAGTAACTTATATTTGATTGATTGATTAATGTCTTACAATACACGGGGTCCAATATTTATACCCGGAGCATAAACATAAATCCTACTCGAGCACGACTCATTACAATCTTTGGTATAGAAAAAAACATTCCTATCTTAAGATAACTTAAACCCTAATCTTTCCCTTTTTGTAGAGTCCGATATGTAGTTTCCTGATGCCAACCGTAGCTCATCATCGTTATCTGCTAACGTCATTCAAAGAGAGCCGATTCCAGAGTCGTATCTGAATCAGCTGATATCGATCCTTATGCAATCGATTCCTTGATTGGCACAATCTTGGAAGCCTTCGAATTCTCGCATTCTTCTCCCAAATTTTGGTGTAAACAACATGGACTGTGTGGCTCCCTTGTTCATAACCCAAGTTGTATTTGCCATTTTTCTTCTTGTTTTAATGTATGCATTTCATGATCTTGAAAATGCCCATTTGCTATCTCACATAGTTCCAAAAATATTCTGCACTATGATATTGTTAATTAAGCCTTAACGTTGTCTATTTCTGCTCAATGTGCATCATTAGGTCTATTCTATTTAGGTTTTGAGATTCTTCTTATTTAATTGGAACTGAATGCCTTGAATTTATTTATTTTTAGCTTCTGCTTGGTGGAGGCACAAGCAAGGCACCCAATCCATTTTTTTGCATCTAATTTGTGTATAAGCAGCTCTTGTCGGTGGAACTGCAAAATATCTCAGGTGCTTGTTGTTTCCTTTCTTTTTATTTCTTCACCAATAACCAATGCCATCCTGTTTCTTAACAGAGTTATCCTTTTAACCGATTGGTGTCAGATTGTCGCACGTACTATAACAGTTTACCTGTGATTGTTCAATCCCTGTCTGTTTAGCATCAGTGGCAATCAAAACCTATAGTGTCGATTTATCAGTAATTACATGAATATCATGAGGACTTTACTCACTGCAAGAAATTATATTAGATTTCAGTCTATGTTTGTTGCCTGGCCATGCTCTCTGGTTTCTTTTTATTTCGCAAGAACTGCAAAATAGTTCTATACCAAGAGGACAATGGCTATACCTTATCTAATTTACTTTACCAATCATGCTTTATGTATGCACTTTCAGTTCTTGTGAATGTGCTACATATTAGATCAGCACAATGTTTTCTCAATCTTTCAATATATGCTTTATGGAATAGGCATGCAGTAGGAAGGCTCACTGTGTTCCAAGCGTCTTGGCTCCCTACAATCTGTTGTGCTGTTAATTCAGTGATCATCATGCTATTGCTAGTGTTTAGGAGTACCTATCATGCATGTATTCATTTATGCTCTAGCTTTCACTTGTGCTCTCATCCTAGATGTAAATTAGAATATTCCTGCTCCATAGTGCAATGTTTCTACAGGAGCCTGGAGGTTTGTAATGGAGTGACGCGAGGGTGCTATTGTGTGTCTTATATTACAGTGAAAGTATTAAACTTCATGTATTGAACTGCTTTTCTAAAATTATTGAGCTGCTATAGTGAATACATTTAACTGCTCTTTTGTAATGTGTGAATCCTAACATGTATTAAACTTCACTTCATGTCTATCTTTTTTATTTTACCTATATTTATGCCAAATTAGCTGAACCCTTCATCCAACATGGTCTCTTAGGTGCTGCTTTGTGTTAGGCAATGGGTAGATGACAACAAAGCTAACCTGCTGCTTCATTGTCTTCAGCGGTTCCTAAGGTATGTGCACCCAATCCGTTAGCTCTGTTTTTTGTATTCACCTATTTTGTGCACTCAATTTTTAGTTGCCGCTATTTTCTAACCTTTTGCAATCCATCTCCTATTCTCAGCCTCAAAGACAACGGACTTCCCCATCAAGGCTCATGAAGCTCTACAATGATTTGACTCAATCTCAGAAGAAAAGAATACGGGCGATATGTTTTGGTGGTCTCCTGAAGATTGCTTCTAAAACCCTTCTTGCAGGTTTTGCAGACTGGTTGATGGCTGAGTGCTATGATGCTGATTCATCGAAGCTGGTGTTTCCTGGTAGGGGAAGGATTTCAGTCAATGCTGATTCAGTGTGTCGTGCTTTTGGTCTTCCAAACAATGGTGATGAAGTTAAGTATGAGCTTGATGTTGGTGCGATCAACTTCATCAATGGTGAGTATGGTATTGATGAAGGGACAACACCTACTATTGAGACTATATTGGAAAGGTTGAAGGAGAATAAGACAAGCAATGATGATTTCCTAAGGTCCTGGCTGATGATAGCAATTTCAACATTCCTGTGTCCTCCAAGTGGCTTAGTTATTAGCCCAAGGTGCTATCCAGTCATTGTGGATCTTTCTTGCATCAAGAAGTTGAATTGGTGCCAGTTTGTTGTTGACTAGCTTAAAGACACAGTAGTCAAAATGGTCAAAAGAAGATCTTTTAAGGGATGTCTTCTTGTCCTTGTGGTAAGTTGCTTCGCGTCTTGTTCTATGCTGCAGTGTTTGGTGAGTGTTGTTGCAGCAGTAGCAGCCACAACGCCGCTACAGCAAGCACTACCGATCTCAATCATATATGTTTCTACTTCTTCATTCTTTCTTCTTATATTTTGATGCCCTCATCGATTTTTCATCTTTGCAGATTCTATATGTAGACTCGCTTCTGGTTGACAATGTACAAATCCCTTCCACCATGCCTAGAGTTGCAGCATGGTCAAGGAAATTGTTGGATCGGTCATCAAGTTAGACACCAACCATGATGGCCCATTTGGGAAGCTCAAGGTATGTATCAATAGGTCAATGTGGCTTCCCTTTTGTTGCTAAAGTATCCCCATGTCCATATTATAACTTTGCCTGTACATGTTTATGTGTCCAGTTGAAAGGATCAAGCTATTCTACTCCACAGCCTTCATTGTTCCACATGGATGATATAAGAAGATTTGTCTCCTCGAAGGTTCCCAGTGGCATTTCAGATCGGGTTTGTACATGGTCTCTTCTCTAATGATGTTCTCATGACTACTATTTTTTGTTAAATGTACTTGAATGTGTTTGTGTGAAAATTTGTGTTGATAGACCCGTTGTACATCTTATGTGGAGGCCTAGTGAACAAGTGGAATGGGCCTCCACAAGATTCATACAAGCTTGTGTTGTGCAGGCCCACGAATGGGGGGGGGAACAAGTAGAGTTAAACAACCATGTAAGCAACAAAAGGGATGGCCTTTTTGACTAGTAAGAATAGGCTAAATTGCCTATTTAGGAAGACATTGTTGCCTAACGAATGACACTTAAATTGCCTAAGAAAATGCGAAGATGCTAAAATAGGGACGCTAAGAACACGGGATTCATGAAAAGGCCAGGCCATCACGGGATTCATGAAAAGCTAAGCCGAACTTTAGGAAAAAGGATGAATCAGTATACTACTACACAAGTCAAAAGTAGGCGCGGAAGAAACTACACAGAAAAAAGGATGAAGTATAGGATGAATCAAAATTTTGTAATTTATTTATTTTTTTAAAAAAACAATCAAGCAATGGGCTAAACTCCGAACTTAGTAAATAGGAAAGGCAATGCACGTTAACATTTGAGTCTTAGCATATAAGATGTACAACGGGTATGCCAACACAAATTTTCACACAAACACCTTCAAGTACATTTCAGTAACACTATTTCTTAATTTAAATTGTTTCTTGATTTTGAACTTCCCTTCCAGGCTTGTCTGGACATCTCTGTGCATTGTGATCATATGATCTGCAAATGCTGCATGTATTCTTTCTCTTTGCTTGACCATTCATCCCCTTTTTGTGCGCCTTCTCCTTGCTGCGCCCTTTTGCTTTTGACTTTGGGGGGTTCCCTACATTTGATGAGCTTGGACCAGCCACTACACCTATAGGGTGAAATGCAATATCAGCAACTAAGTAATCAAGTACATGTGTACTAGGATGAAGTAAAGCAGAACACAAGGTCTAGTTTTTAAACCTGCAGTTCACAGTGAAGTGAAGGTCCAGTTGGAGTAGTGGCACCTGGACCAGTGTTCTGTAGCACCAGTGTAGCACCAAGGTCTTGTGCACCTTCTGTAGCACCACCTTCTATAGCACCAGTGTTCTGCCTATTCGCCATCTTCCTTTTCTTGATTTCTTCAAATTCAGATCGCATCTGCTTGATGTGCTTCTCCAAAACAGCATAGTTTTCATCACTTGTATAGCCCTCAACTGCTAGTGCTACAAATGCGGTGGATGCGTTGGTGAATCTCAGAGTTTTCTAGCCGGTCAATGGCATCCCACAGGCTACAAGTTCCACCGGTGCCTACACATTTTGGACCAGATCTATATCACTAGTAATTGCTTGTTGTGTCCACCTTTTAAGGATGTTACTTTCTGGTATCAATTTCACCCCCATCCTGACCATAACCCTCATAATGTGGCAACAAATGATTCCATCCTTGTCAAACTTGCTGCACTCACAGCAATAGCTTTCCTCCTCTTCTATTGCTATAACAAGGTAGTTCCTTTTTCCATACCCATAAACAAAGCTGTTATTGGGCTCCACACAATATTGGAACTGCCCTACAGGTTTCACATCATATTCTGTAGTTTTCTCAAACTCTTTGGAGAACTTGTAGAACATATTCTTTGTGTATATAGTGGAAGCATGCTTCTCAAGTGGATGCCTTGACCATCGTCTTTGCTCATTCTCATTAGTCCTGAAGTCTTGGCCATCCTATACTACCATACACTTCTCATGTATTTTCTGGTACTGTCTTACAAACTGTAGCACAGACAAGTTTGGGTTCACATACTTCTTGATCAAAGCATTGAACCCCTCGCTCCTTTGAGTCGACTAGAGGAATGGGAAAAAGCTGTGCATGTAGTAGGGTGGAATGAAGCTCTGCCTTTTGTGGTACAGGTGCTAAAAATGCTCATTGCCCTCCAAATCATGTTTCTGGACCATAGCGGCCCACTTTGACTCAATCTTCAGGACTTACGGTGTGGTTCAAGCAATCCACAAACTCCTCATTTAGTTCATTTTTAGCAAGGATTGGTCCAATTGTGCCCAAAAACTTGTCCATGATATGCCACCTATAATTCTTGTGGGTCATGTTTGGAAAAACGGTGCAAATGGCGGCTCTCATCGCAGCATCCTGATCGGTGATTTATGTTGAGGGGTGCCTTTCCGTCCATTGCCTCTAGAAATGTTACAAACAACCATTCATAGGTAGCTGCCTTCTCATTCCTTATAAAGGCAAATCCTAGCTGAAAAGTTTGGCAGTGTCTGTTGATTCCTATGAATGGTGTATAAGGCATCTCATATATGTTGGTCATATAGGTTGCATCAAATGAGATGTAGTCGCTATATGCCTCTTTGTAAGCTCGTCTTGCAGCTGAATCAACCCAAAATAGGTTCTCAACCCTATGGTTGTCATCGAGCTTGATCTTGTAGAAGAAATCAGGGTCTTCTTCTTTCAAAGCTCTTGAGTAATCCAAAGTTTCCCACATATCTTTGAATTTTTCCGTCTTGTGGATGGTGGAGCGAAAGTTCGAAACTTGTTTGCCCTCGTATGGCACCAGTTGTGCAGAGCCATAGATCTCGCTCATCAACTGCATGATTTTACCCGTGCTCAAGTTGCATCCGTGTAGCAAAACGATGAAATCCTTTTCCGGCTTTGGTATCCCTCTATGGGACCTTAGGAACTTCTTGAGCGAGGGCTTTACCACAAGATCATTGTTGTGCTTGGCCAGAAAATAGATGACTTGCCACCTAGAGCCAATCATTTTGACCACCATCCTCGCCTTGTAGTTTGTATATAGCATTTTCTCCCTCTTCCTTTTCTTACATCCGTCAAGCTTCTTTGTCTTCTCCCCTTGATCATCCTCTTCCTCTTGTGCGCTATCCTCCTCTTCGGCTTCATCATTGTCAGAGTAGCAAGTGATAGCTTCAACAAGCTAAGCATCAACTCTCCTTTTCTTGCCAAAGGCTTCCTTATTGCACACGAACTGGACCTTCTGCATTTCTCTTGTGATTGCGGACCGGCGTGACGTGTTTGTTCTCATCGGGAAGCCAGTTCTCTTTGCATAAGAGTTGTAATACTCTTTTGCTTCGTCCAAGGATGCAAAAGACAGCCCACTATGTGGCATTTGAGGAGTAGACCACACCTCTTCCTCCTCTTCTGCTACTTCATTTCCAGCACCATTCAATTCATTATCAGTAGCTACAGGATTAGCAGTAGAACCTTCATTCCTGTTCTCAATCCTTGCTTGTTCAAATGACAATCTAATTTCAGAAACGGTAGGAAGAACCTCTTCTGAAACTATAGGAGCCGCCTCTGCTAACCAGCATGACCAACTTCAGAAAAACTAGGCAAAATCTGCTGTTCACATGCTCATCATTAGGCTGAGGAATTTCAGGCACTTGAGTGCAGAAGGTAGGGTTGCTGGTCACATAATCCAAACCAAATGCATCCAAGAAATCTTCATCCAAATATGGTGGTAGCCTGTTAAGATCCATATTTGAGATCTACATGCAAAACAGTAAGTTACATGAATTAGGCAACTTAGTCAAACCCATTAGGCAATAATACTGTACAAAATTAGGCAAAAAAGGGCAACAACTTATGCAGTTTTGTTCAGTACATGCTATCAGTTTTGTTCAGTGCATGCTATCAGTTACATGAAATTTCATGATAGCTGTGGCTATCAGTTTTCCACAGTTACAATGGGACTGAAGACTGACTAACACTGTATCTAAATGTTACAACCTGTAAAATAGACACATGAGAGTTTAGAAACTTAAGACTGTCCATGGTACAAAATGCATTTCATTCCATAGTCAGTTTTCAACTTAATGAATCTATTGTTCTTATGTTTCCCTCTTTTTGCAGAAAGTTGAAATTTGAGGCTTGCTTGTCCTCAACTCAGTTGATTTAAACATTTTTTTCCTCAGTTCTCACTACCATCTATGTGCTTATCATGTACTTCTATTTAATTGCAGGTGTGAGGCCATCAAGCATCAAAATGAACATGTGCAGCAACCATGTGCAGCAGCTAACACAAGAAAGTTTAATGCATAGGAGTAACCATGTGCAGCAGCTAACACAAGAAAGTTTAATGCATAGGAGTAACCATGTGCAGCAGCTAACACAAGAAGGTTTAATGCATCAAGATGTACATCTATAGGAGTGGTGCATACAGTATATATCCATGTTAACTAGTAAGAACACCATCTGGTAGTAAGATGTGCAGTAAGAACATTAGTCATTTACATGTCCAAGTTTAGATCAGATCTGCTAATGCAGTAGGAACTGCATTACTATTTGTGATGCAAGAGAACGGGATTGCTTATGCAAAACAACTGAATTGCTTATGTAGAAGTAGTGAATTGCTTATCAGTTAGGATCAGATCTGTTATGCAGTAGGAACAACAGTACTATCTGATATCAGAACTGAATTGCTTCTACTAACAGATCTGGTTGGTTCTGTTGTGTAATTCTAGTGTCTGAGAAGAAGCTGATTATTTGTAGCTCATAGTATCAAGTTCTTGCATATTTGTACGTACCTGTTGTTTGGATGTATTGGCCTGCCTTGTTTGGATGAATTTGCCGACAACCCGATGGTGGCGGCGGCGTCCTGGACGCCTCTGTTTTGCATGTTGAAAGGGAAAAGCAAAACAGGGCGAGGGGAAGAAGCTTACAGGCGGGGTGTGGGCCTGGCCTCTGGTGGGCCTTGTCCAGGAAGCGCGCTTGGCGCGCACCCGCCGTAGCGCTTCGCGCGCGCGTGCACGGCCGCTGCTTCCCCACGACCAGGACGGAAACGGAAAGTATATACTATTGGATTTCCTAATATGGAGTGTGCGTGCGGCCTGCTTAATGCATGGACGGCCATGCATTAGTTGGTTCCTTTTCTATAAACATAATCAAAGTTGAGAAAATTTTATCTACATGCAAACTTCTTTCTCAACTTTCTCAAACAAACCGTACAATTTTAAAACGGAGTAGGTTTGTAAACAAACCGTACAAGTTTTTGTTTTCTTGGTTTGTTATTACTTCTGTCAAACAACGAACAGTTAAGCAAACTTCGTGGCCTAGCTAGTGCTAAAGCTGCAGCTATTAACAGTAAGCACTTCCAAAATGAGGAGGGGTAGCCGGGTAGGGAAAAATGACAACGCCATGACCCAACCACCGGGCACCAACACAGGGCCGGCCGCTGCCATCACGCACAGGGCATGCAACGGCCACTGCACGTACGTACAAATCAGTCCCCTCCATCCTCCCGCCACAATTCCACAAGCCGGCCGGCCCGCCATAAAATACATCTTCGTCTCGCGCACATCATCAACCTCTGTCCGATCCCATCTAGCTAGACACCGCGTATGTACCAGCGCATATCCATGGGCCGCCGCCATACATGCTGGCCGTCGCCGGCCGCCGCCGTGAAGGCCGGAGCGATCTGCGTGCTGCTGCTCCTGCCGGCGCCCGCGACCGCGCAGGCGCCCGTGGAGGCCGCGGCGGCGATCGAAGCGGAAGGCGGCGGCAATGTCACCACTCGAGGCGGCGGCGGCGGCTCGCGAGGCGGGGGAGGAGGTGGTGGCGGCGGCGGCACGCGGAAGCTGGTGAGCAACATCGACTGCCAGATCTGCGAGGCGACATGCCGGGTGAAGTGCCTCATCAACAACCTCTTCCAGTGGGGCGTGTGCTACCAGCGATGCAAGTCCGACAACTGCAACGACTGGTGCCGGTAGCAGAGACGGCCACTGCTGGCTGCCAGCCTGCATGCATGTCCATAGTCCTCACACATCGGATTGATGGTTCAGACGACTGGGCTACACATGTACCAATTACACCTTCCTCTACCTGCAATCTCCATCCAACGTATATACATACACATATGCGTACGTACGTACTGCTGCTGCCATGCATCTACGTGTAACGTGTATTTTACGATTACCCTAAGTTTGTACGACCTGGAGCTACTAGTGCTAATTTTTGAATAACCGAGTTGTAACGAATGGTACTCGATTACTCGTGATTTAACTGATGATGAGTCGAAGAGTCGAGTGCAAAGAATATATAGAATATTGCGAATGCTCAGCCGCTGGCATCCACCCGTCCGGACGCGATTCCCAATTCGTAGTGGACCGGTCTCTCAGAAAAAAAAAATCCCCACTCCACTCGTCCTACCGTCGCGACATGGTTGTTCATCCGTCCACTCCGCCACGGCCACTTCCCCAACCGTGCTATGTCCCCATTCGTGCCGTGCCCTTCCCCCCACCGCGCCGCACCCCATGGCTGGCCCGCTGCGCCCCATCTCCCCCGCGAGTGGACGGCGCTGGACGATTGCCGCCCAGCGAGCAGGGCGGCGCTGGAGTAGCAACAACAGGGCCGCCGCCCATGAGCGCGAGCCTGGGCCACGAGCAGACGTTGGAGAATCGTAGGAGGGCCACACCGCTGCTGCACAGGCAAGCTCCATGCGCCGCTGCTGACCTCCGCGCCTGCCAAGCAGCAAGGTGACATTGTGCTGAAAACACATGTTGAAAGCGTATGTTTCAAGTGTTTTAGATATGTATTCTGGATGTTGCAAAAGTAGATGGGGATGTTGCACATGTTGCAAGTGTTTTAGAGGTATGTTGCAAGCGTTTGTTCTCAGTATTTCATGATATTACATATGTTTCACACATATGTTGCGAGTGTTTTATCTGTACGTTGCTTATGTTTTACAATAATTTTCAAGTGTTTTCAGGTGTTTTACAAGTGTTTCACACGTATATTTCAAATGTTTCATCTGTCTTGTTTTGTATGTTGCAAGTGTACTTGCATCTAAATGTTTCAAAAGTATATCTGAATGTTGCATATATGTGCATGACATCGGGGGCAAGTTAGGGATGGGGCAGGGCAGAGACGAGCAAGGTGAACGGGGCGTGGCGGGGGACGGAGCACGGTGGGGGATGGCGGCATGGCAGGAACGGGCTGCAAGAGTGACGCGCGCGCTCTGTTCCATTACGCGGGACAGACACTCGCTCGAATCGTTTTTTTTTTTATTGCGGGCCAGTTTCATCAAACGGGTGGAATCACACGCTGGGAGCTACGTCCGGATGCGTCCCGGTGCCGGACGGCGGGCGCCAGTTGTTCCAATAGAATATATATGTATCCCTGTTTTGGTGAAGTACCACCACATTCATCCATCTCTGTATAGCAGACTGCTACAGGAAAGCTTTGCAGAGAAGGACGATTGGACTTCAGAAGGTAACCTCAGCGCAGGCTACAATAACACCAGTACGTGATCCACTGCCTCTGGAAATCAAGATAAAAAAGAAAAAAATGCACCATCGTCTTTGTACACGCACGTATGCAATGGCGTTAATTAACAATATAGACTAATTATTTTATTCAAAAGTTCATCATGGGCCTGCTGCTCTCGGCAAGCCACAGGTGAGAAAGACCATTTGGATGGGCCATGCATGGGTTATATATGATGAGCCCATTTTGATTAATCAAACTGTGCACTAATAGATGGACCACATCCCGAGGTTCGAGCGCGGTGAAATACTGCTAATAAAGAAGATGGGAATCCTGGCGCCATCAGCACCGATATCCTCCGTGGCCAAACGATCCTACGAGTCGTCCTTCCAAGGCAACCTCTCGGAAGAAAACGTTGCCTCTCTTGATGAGCTGTTCCCCACAGCATCCAAGGCGATGACAGGTAGAGCAACTCACCGGCCTCCGACGGCTTAGGCCCACGCGGACTGAAGCTTTAGCTAGATCATAATTAAGGTTGATCCCAATAGATCCCAAGATTGTAATAGTCAAAATATAGCCCCACTGTTAACTGCCGGGCGGGAACGGCCTATGTTGTATCTTACAACTTCTATCTTCTTAATACAATGATACACAATGCTCTTGCGTATTCGAGAAAAAAACTGTGCACTAATTAATCAACATCTTGCAGCCCAAAATATTTTTTAATATAGCCCACATTTGGTAAGTATACTATGCATGGATATACACGGTATTATCTTATGAAAATTTTCTTTTCTCTTAAGAACACATATATATAATCTATATCTAGACCTAATATTAAAGAGGCAAAATTTCTCTTCACCATTTTTTTTTGTTCGGCTCTACCCTAACCAATTTCATGAATATGGAAACTACATATAGCCCTTCTCTTTATATTCTACTAAGACCTAATCCAATTAGATCTCTCTTATCCCGAGTAATCTGAATAGGAATTTTAATCCAATCCAAATAGAAAAAAGTATATGAATAGAAATCTCCCTCGGCTACGCTCTCTTTCTTGTTTTGGTCGACCACATTGTTCATCCGTCCATGTCTTTTTCAAATTTCTTGACGCACATACTATTTTCTTTTTTTTCCATGAGCCGCACGTCCACATCACCCATAAATATATGGGCCCAAAAGGTTTCCTATATAGGTTATGATATATTTTGAGTAAATATTAGTGTTTTTGTTATCATTTGCTCTCACCCATACTTTTATGAGTTAGAGTACTCTGTTAAGACACGGTGAGGAGTTTGATTCCAAGACAAATTGAAATGCATGACCCATCATTGGATAAAACTTCAACCATCCTTTACCTATATGAATTCGAGTAGAGCGTGTCCGGACATGTCATGGAGTTTGATTCCAAGATGAATGAGAACGCATGATACGATTGTTGAATAAATCTTCTGAACTTTATGTCGTCCAAGTGACTAGACTATAAACTATACATCCCTCGTAGCAACGCACGAGAATTTTTGCTAGTATTATATGATATGCCAAAATCTCTTCGTACAAATGCCACTCACCAAGTAGATCGAGTTCGTGTCAGGAAAGAGCAGGGACTCGACTTGGTGGGGAAACTGTAAGCCGAAGGCAACTTCCCGGGAAGTTGGTTTTGCAACCGCTAGATTCAGATCTCGAGATCCGACTTGGTGCAACTGGACTTATCGACTCAGGTTCATTTGAACAAACTCTCCCTTCCTTTTATATTTCTGGCCAACTGTACCTCCGGCAAAGCTTGTATTTTGCCCGTGAGCCGATTATTTTACGGGAGAGTTTCTAGAGATTTAAACAAATCTCGCCTAACAGAAGCTGCATCGAATCTGTTTGTTGGGGTACGGACTTATATATCCGTATATCTCGACTCGTCGAAGTACAGAAGAAGGGAAAGGATCGGAGGCCCTCGACGAGGTGGGGGCTGCTGCCTGCTGGTTGTGGGCGGCCAACCCTACGAGCGCAGCAACAATGCAGATGCAGTCGAAGCTATATTCCAAACGCGGCGACGGCGGCGGCGGCGGCTTCTCACTGCCGGAGGACACATCATCTCGGAGGTGCTACTCAGGATGCCGGCGAAGGCCCTGCGCCGGTTCCGGTGCGTGTGCAAGGCCTGGCGTGCCCTCATCTCCGTCCCGGCCTTCCTCGCCGCACGGAGATCCCGCGGCCGCGCCGGCCCGTTCATCGTCGTCGTGTCCGGATCCGCACCAGAGCTCGAGCTGCGCCTGCTGGACGACGTCGGCAACGTCCACAGGGTGTTCGACGTCAGGGCCCAGCATTGCTGGCGCCGACGCGGCTCAACAACCTCATCTTCGTCGCGACATGATGCAGTTTGGTGCCATGATCATCTATCCGGCATCTGGGCGCGACTTCACCGTCGTTGGCACCAACGACCCCCCTCGGCCCGGGTGGGACGAGTCGTCGTCGACCGCCGTGAATGACTACAGCTTTGGCCGTGCCTGGCCGTCCGGCGACTACAAGGTACGGTCCTCCGTCTCCACGTAATCGAAACTTCGTCGCGCTGGGATGGCCGACACCGTAGCAAGTGGTACGAGGTCGGCACGATCATGGACGATGGTGTGCCGAGCCGACATGGAGACCAAGGCCATGGGACTCATTCTCCCAAACCAGCTTTTCCTGCGAACACAAGGAAACCGTCAATGGCGATCTCTACTTCATGCTTTGTGACATACTACGAATCTCATAGTGGGTTATAAATACTCGCCCAGGATACATGCAGTTGGTGCGTTTGCATTACTGCTGGTGCTTTGCGATCTGATCATCAGAGAGACCACTCCATCTGCTTAAGGCGCTTTTGCAAAGGTACTTTATCATGTACATATATACTACTAGTCTCGCAATTATTATTTGCTCCATTTTAACTCCACTTTCATTTCTGATATAAGTACGAATGGACTTACCTTTGTTTATTATTTTCATCAGATGGCATCTGGTTGTTTTCCCAATAACCCAATGGCGAGGCCAAGGCGGGGAAGATCGTCGCATTCCCGACCACCGCGTTCATGGAACCGGCAGCGGATCACTCCCACTCGGCCCTATAATTAATCACTATGATTGGGTTGCTGACCATGAAGAGCGTGGTCGAAGGGCCCTTTCAGTCGTAGCCGATCACCAATTCATCACGAGAGTGCTCACCGTCAATCTAAGCGGCGACACAATGACTACACCGCAGTCGTTCGCCAAGCCGCCTTGAAAACAGCTCGTATGAGTGAGTCTGATGGAGAGCAGACCGGCGCAAATGAACCTGCTCGTCGAGATCGTCGTCGCCATGATTATCGCGTGCAGCATGAAGATGTGCGTCGTCCCGCTGAGGGCCGTGACAACCATAACACATCTGAGCGGAAGCAGGCTCGCAAAAGGCAAGACGAAGCTTTTGTGGGCCAAAAGAGATGCAGGTGAGCACGCATACCCATTTTCTTTTTAGCTAGTCTTTTTAGCTAGCAAT